TGTGAGTCCTGAAGATGGTCATCGGGCTTGGCAGTGAGCACTGGTCAGGTTGAGCATCTCTTACCATTCTCCACTCCCTGGCTTTCCTGATAACCTCCTCATCCCCTGCTCCCTTCCTAATAGCCTTCTTGCCCCCAGCTGAACTCCTAACCCTGAGACATTCCCCTCCCCCCAGTGCTTTTTGACCTGTCACAAGCGCTGTCTGGAGACCCTCCTCATCCTTTGTGGACACCGACGGCTTCCAGCCCGGATGCCTCTCTTTGGAGTTGACTTCCTACAACTCCCCAGAGACTTCCCTGAGGAGGTGCCCTTTGTGGTTACCCGGTGCACAGCTGAGATAGAGCATCGCGCCCTGGGCCTGCAGGGTATCTATCGGGTCAGTGGGTCTCGAGTGCGTGTGGAACGACTGTGCCAGGCCTTTGAGAATGGCCGAGTGCTGGTTGAACTGTCGGGAAACTCTCCTCATGATATCACCAGTGTCCTCAAGCGATTTCTTCAAGAGGTAGGTGGCTCTAGGCCTGAGGTGGTGGGCAAGAATCATGCAGCCTCTGGCTCAGGACCCTCGGCAGCCCATCCCCACTCCTGTCCCCTTCAGCTCACTGATCCCGTGGTCCCCTTCCACCTTTACGACGCCTTCATCTCTCTGGCAAAGACCTTGCATGCAGACCCCGGGGACGACCCTGGAACCCCCAGCCCCAGCCCTGAGATTATCCGCTCGCTGAGGACCCTCTTGGTGCAGCTGCCTCCCTCTAACTACAGCACTGTGCGGCACCTGGTGGCCCATCTGTTCAGGTGTGCATGGGTCCCTAGGCTTTGAATCATGGCCCTCTTTCCCTAGAAACATAACTGCTTACCTGTGTGGCTCATATTAACCTCTGACCTTTCATATTTCTTCTGAGCTCAGAGCCCTGGACACACACACCTGACCCTGACACGGTCTCAGTGACCAGACACTACTTTCCTATGGCCTGGCCAAGTCACCAGGCTAGCTCACAGGTCCTACCATTCTCCTCCAACTTCACGGTTGACCCTTCTCCCCACCATTCGCAGGGTGGCTGCTCATTTTGAAGAAAACAAGATGTCTGCCAACAACTTGGGAATTGTATTTGGGCCTACGCTGCTGCGGCCACCAGATGGACCCAGGGCCCCCGGAGTCAGCCCTGTGGCTTGTCTGCTGGACTCCAGTCACCAGGCTCAGCTTGTTGAATTCCTCATTGTGCACTATGAGCAGATCTTTGGAATGGATGAGCTCCCTCTGGCCTCGGAGCCCCTGACCCAAGATCCTGGCCTGGCTCCCATACTCCTCGAATCCAGTCCCCAGCACCCAGCCCCACTTCTTGCCCAAGACATACAACCCCTGACCATAGCCTCAGACTGCAGCCCAGATCCCAAACTCCACAGTGCCCTGGAGAAGTGTCTGGAGGTCACACCTTCTGAGGTAGAAGTCTGCTTATCCCACAGATGTGGGGATGGCCTTGTCTGTGTTTAATACCCCCCTTCTTTTGCACAACTCGACATTGAATCCAGTGCCTGGTGTGCGTTAAATGTGTGCTTATCACTAAGTCATCCTAGCTCTCTTTAATTTTGTTTGCATTTTTCGAAAGCATTTGTTTGTTTGTTTGTTTGTTTGTTGAGTGAGTAGCCACACACATGTCATGGCATGAGCATGAAAGCCAGAGGACAGCCTATCCTTCATGGGACCTGGGGATGGAATTCTTCAGGTTCAAGTACTATAACATCTCTCCAGCCCAAATTGCTTTTGTTACATTTTTAATTAATTAATTTATGTATTGAGGGGGTGTCACATGGAAGTCAGAGAAAAAGTCAGTTCTCTTCTAGCATGGAGGTCCTGGAAATGGAAATTGCCAAGCTTGGTGACAGAGGCCTTTTCATCCTTAACCTCCTTTTAGTGTTTATTTTGTGGCAGTCTCCTTAAAATGCCAGATTGTCCTTGAGCTCACACTGTAAGCCAGTTTAATGGCCTTCCTGCCTAGGCCTATTGAGTAGTAGCTGAGAAGCTGAAATGACACACTGTTTTATATATATATATATATATATATATACACATTGGTGGGGTTTTTTTTTTCCAGGATGTATGTCTGTAAGGATGTCAGGTCCCCAGGAACTGCAGTCACAGACAGTTTTGAGCTATCATGTAGGTGCTAGATATTGAACCTGGATTCTCTGGGCAAGCAGCCAATGCTCTAACCTCTGAGCTATCTCTCCAGCCCCAGCACACTTGCCTTTATATTGTATTGTTTTGTTTGATTTTGAGATAGGGTCTTTCTCTGTGATCTTCCTGCTTTAGTGCTTTGAGTGCATGGCATAGGGATAGGAAGAGGCATGGGCAAGTCTGGGGAAAACGTACAGGTAGTGGGACCAGCTGGGAAAAGGCCTTGGGGTCTTGAGGTGGGAGCATGCGTGCTATGTGCAGCCCTGGATTGTAAAGAGTGGGTAAGGGAAACAAGAATGGAGCAAGGACCAGGTTGCAAATGAATCTCGGTGACAAAGTGATCATCTAGCATGTGTGAGGTTTTGGATTTGGATCCCAGCACTAGAAAAGAAGGTTAGTCAGATGGCTCTGTTAGCTGCCGAGCACAGGGTGTGAGTGACAGATGAGCACTGGCTATGGACAGTGTGCATTGAGACAGGGTCACTCACTGAACTTGCAGCGTGCTATTTCAGCTCCCAGGACGCCTGTCTCCACCCCATAATATAGTAGTTACAAGCACTCCCAGTCATGCCTGGCTTTTTACAAAGATGCCAGAAATTCAAACTTGGCTCCTCATGCTTGCACAGCAAATCCTCTGATGCACTGAGCCACCCCCACAAAACCCCAAACAGGGCTTTACTGTTAGGAATCACATTCTGGGTTTCTTCCTGCAGATTGCAACTCTGCAGAGGGACCAAAGGGAGGAGAAGGAGGTGGAAAACACCAGAGATGGGGCAGGGGAAGGTGAGTGTCCTAGAGAGCTCTCTCTTTCCCTTAGGGTTGCTTGGCTGACCGGTCACTCTTGGAGGTACATCCTGAGAACTTGGGGATGCTTAGCATTCATCTTTCCACAGTGTCCAGCCACAACCCTGAGGACTTGCTCCTGGGAACACAATCCCGGGGCCATTTCAGTCGCCAGCCAGTGAAGTATTCACGGGGAGGTGTACGACCAGTCACTCATCAACTGTCCAGCTTGGCTCTGGTAGCTTCCAAATTGTGTGAGGAGACTCCTGTTACTGTTTCAACAGTGCACCGAGGTAGTTTGAGGGGACGAAGCCTGGGCCCTGCTGCTGCCTCCCCTGAAGGCAGCCCCCTGCGCCGAAACCCTCTGCCCAAGCACTTTGAGATTACCCAGGAGACAGCCCGGCTACTCTCCAAGCTGGATACTGAGGCTATGTCCAGGGCTACCTGTTGTGCTGACACTGAGCCTGAAGGATCTGAGGAACATCTCTGACCACCACCATCCCAGGAGACTCAGGACTGAGCTGATGACCCAGTATGTCTCTCTTCCTGCCCCACCTGGTAACCAGACCAATTTAGTGGGGTGTGGGGAGAGACAGGTTACCAGAGAGTTGGGTAAGGAAGACCACCCATCTTGGGAAGTCCTCACCATCTCCCTGCCAGAGGAGGTTAAAACGGCCAGACAACACAGGTGCACAGGCGAATCAGAATCAATGACTCAGTTGAATCAGTATTCAATGGTCAATACATGTCCGAAGATCCTTGGGGTTACCCCAGTCTCTGACCTCCAAGACAGATGTCTGACTACTCTGATCATAATAGCTCCTGGCCCTAGTGCCACTTGCCTCCTTGACAGATTCTACGTGAGTAGGTGGGTGTAGTTTAGCCCTCTCACCTGCTTTTATGTCTTTCTGGGTTTGTTTGTTTGTTTGTTTGTTTTGAGATGGGGTCTATTGTAGCTCTGGCTGGTCTGGAACTCCCTATGTAAACCAGGTTGTTATAGAACTTACAGAAATTCCCTCCTCCTAAGTGCTGGCCAAATCTGGATTCTTATAACCTCCAAATAAAGCCATGTCCTGGTTGAATACAACGGTGCTAACAGTGCTTGCTGCAAAGCCTGACCCACTTGGTAGTAGGAGAGAACCAATTATTGCAAATTATCTGCCCTCTGTTCATAAACATGTACATACACAAATAAAATTACATTTTAATTTAAAAAAAAGTCTGCCGAGCAGTGGTGGCACACGCCTTTAGTCCCAGCACTCAGGAGGCAGAGGCACGCAGATCTCTGAGTTGGAGGCCAGCATGGTCTGTAGAGTTAGTTCTAGGACAGCCTGTTTTTAAAAAGGTAAAAAACAATCCTGTGATATTCTTACACAACTGTCTTTTCCAGGGAAGGCTGACAAAGAAAAGGGCACCAGTAAGAGCAGCTTCTTTTACCCCTTTATTACTGACTTGATGAACCAAGACTTCTAAAAACCACCCTGCGAAACCCCACAGGCAATTAGCGCAGGGCCTGGAGCCCCAGATGAGTCACTAAGGTCCTGCCAGAGCTCAGTGTTCCTGATCCGGTTCTACATAATCAAATACAACCCGGTTGTAGATAATTGGGACAATGGGGCTGTGTGCTGCAGACGGGGGAGGCCAAGGGAGGAGGCTGCAGGTCAGAGCCAGCACAGGCTGAGGGGAGACCACGGGAAGTCAGGGTGGTGTACAGGGCCTGTGCTGGTGGCGCGCCTTCAGTGGGGCGGGGGTCCAGCAGCGAGCTTGACCACGGCAGGGTGAGGTGGGGGCGGGGCTTGCAGCTCGGTACAGGATTGGACAGGATCAGGGGGGCGCCCCAGAGGCCTCAGTTGCCGATCTTTCCAGCTGCCAGGTGACTCAACCTCAAAGGCGCGAAAGGGCAAACACGTGAGGTGTGCGGAGGACGGACTGAAAGGGGTGTCCCACGTGGGAAAACGGGGCTGTGGGGAAGAGTTGGGACTACTGCAGTTTTTCAGCACACCATTCTTTCGACGTGGGGGTGGTACACTCCAGGGGGCGGGACACTCCCCCAGGGCCCAAGAGCTGGGGCAGGTAGGGGCGTGGCCTTGGGCCCCGCCTCTCCTGCCTGCTCGGCCTGGGGCTTCTTAAGCACACCGGACGCGGCAGCTGCGCCACCGCCGGGTCTCAGGGTCATGGATCTCAGTCCCACCTCGACACCCCACGAGCCTGCCCCGTCTGCCGCTTGACTGGAAGCCCAGGTAAGACCAGTACCAACCGGACCAGGGTGGGTGCAGGCTTCCAGAGAGAGTGAGGCGTACTCCTTCTCCACAGCCCTTCCTCTAGTCCAGGGTCGTCTGCAAAACACCTTCTTTTGTCCCGGAGGCCTCTCGGCCTTCCGTCCCACCCCGGAATGGCCTGGTTCCAGAGCTCTTGCGCAGAATCCTGCCCATAACTCAACTTCTGGTGCAGTCTCTCTGTCTCCTCTGCTCACTCTGTCACCTCTGCGCCTTGGCACTGCCCTCCGGGTTCTGACTAGGAACCTTGCTCTGGTGTGCACACGCCCCCTGGCCTCTGCACTGTGCGAGGACCCTGGCACCAGTGTGATCTTCAGGCTGCCCCAGCCAACCCTCTCACACCGGTGACTCGGAAACCACAGATGTCCAATCTGGTCGCAGATTGGTGGCAGGAGGCCCCGAATTTCAATGTAGATAGATCACAATGCTTCTTCAGATTTAAAAAAAAGCAAAAACAAGCAAACAAACCCTACCTATCAGACAGAGATCCTTTTAAAAATTGTGGCAACATTCAGCAGAAGCGAATGGGTCTCTTGATTTTGAAGCCAGCCTGGTCTCCCAGGGTGGGATGTGTGCAGTGAGACCCTGCTTTCTGAGTAGATAAACAGAGCTTGTGTTTTTTAGGTCACTCTGGCTCTTACCACAGACACCTTGCTCAGAGGGCCTCTGAGTCTGTGGGTTGTCTTTGGCCACTGCCTGTTGATGCCTCCTCCACCAGGGGCCACCTGCACTGACCTCTCTCTTTCCATATCCACAGGTGCTCATGATGGGTCAGTGCTACTACAATGAGACCATCAGCTTTTTCTATAATAACAGTGGCAAGGAGCTCAGCCTTCATTGGCGCCCCAAGGATGTGGTAGTGGTGGCTCTGGGGCTGACAGTCAGTGTACTGGTGTTGCTCACCAATCTGCTGGTTATTGCGGCCATTGCCTCCAACCGGCGCTTCCACCAGCCCATATACTACCTGCTTGGCAACTTGGCTGCTGCTGACCTCTTCGCCGGCATGGCCTACCTCTTCCTCATGTTCCATACTGGCCCACGAACTGCCCGGCTCTCCATCAGAGGCTGGTTCCTGCGACAGGGTCTGCTGGACACCAGCTTGACGGCATCAGTGGCCACACTGCTGGCCATCGCTGTAGAACGGCACCGTAGTGTGATGGCCGTTCAGCTACACAGCCGCCTACCCCGGGCCCGTGTGGTCACACTTATCGTGGGTGTGTGGGTGGCTGCACTGGGCCTGGGGTTGCTACCTGCACACTTCTGGCACTGCCTCTGTGACTTGGATAGTTGTTCACGAATGGTGCCCCTGTTCAGCCGCTCTTACCTGGCTGTGTGGGCCCTGTCCAGCCTTCTGGTCTTCCTGCTTATGGTAGCTGTCTACACACGCATTTTCTTCTATGTGCGTAGACGGGTAGAGCGCATGGCAGAGCATGTCAGCTGCCATCCCCGCTACCGAGAGACGACGCTCAGCCTAGTCAAGACTGTTGTCATCATCCTGGGTAAGGTGCTCGGACAGCAGCTTCAGGGATCTAGCCTCCGCACGGCCTTGGGAAACTGAGGGAATGACCTGATATTGCAGGCAGGGAGGGGGCATTCTCCAGGGAGGTGGTATCCTCCATGCAGAACCCATGGCAGAACCAGGCAGAGCCTCCAAAGAGGAAAGATGACCCTTCAGCTAGCCTGCACAGAGGAGGACAAGCCAATCTCCAGCTTTCATGTTCCCAAGGAAATTGTTTAGAGGTCCTGTTTGTTTTACTGTGTTTGAGGCAGTCTCCCGTGGCTCAGGCTGGCTTCCAATTATATAGGAATAGAAGATGATCTTGAACTTGTGTTTCTCTTACCTTTATCTCCCAGATGGTAGGGTGGACTCCACACCTGATTTCAAGTACCACCAACTGATCAGTATCCTCAGCCCCGTTTTTGTGTTTGTTTGTTTGTTTGTTTGTTTTTTAAGGCAGGGTCTCACAAAGTACCCTTGACTGTCCTAGAATTCACTGTATAGACCAGGCTGGCCTTGAACTCACAGGATATCTGCCTGCCTCTGTCTCCTGAGTACTGGGAATGAACCGCTCATTTTGTTTTGTTTTAGATTTATTTTTATTTTTGTGTGTATGTGGCTGTGAGATGTGTCTGGGCTCATTCACATGTGTGCAGGTGCACGTGGAGGCTAGAAATATCCTAAGCACTTGGAGCTGAAATTGCAGGCAGTTTCGAACTGAAGTCGCTGTTGGGAACTGGATTTAGGTACCTGTTCTTCCCCATTGAACCATGTCTCTCCAGCCCTGGTTGTTGTTTCTGCTTATTTATTAATTTGGTTTTCTTTTGAAGTAGGGTCTTACTTTGTAGACTTGGCTAACTATGTAGACCAGGCTGGCCTTGAATTCATAGAGAGCCACCTACCTGCCTCTGCCTTCCGAATACTGAGATCAGAGGCGTGCACCACCACACCTGGCTCATGGTTTAGGTTTTTGTCTTTTTTTTTGTTTTAAATATTTATTTATTTATTATGTATACAATATTCTGTCTGCATGTATGTCTGCAGGCCAGAGGAGGGCACCAGACCTCATTACAGATGGTTGTGAGCCACCATGTGGTTGCCGGGAATTGAACTCAGGACCTTTGGAAGAGCAGGCAATGCTCTTAACCACTGAGCCATCTCTCCAGCCCCTAGGTTTTTGTTTTTTGAGGCATGGTCTCTCTACATAGCCATGGTGTCCTGGAACTCACTCTTAAACCAGGCTGGCCTCAAACTCATAGAGATCATAGGTGGCTGCCTCTGCCCCCCAGTGCTGGGATTAAAGGCCTGCGCCACCATGGCCCAGCTTGGTTACTTTTTTAATGCAGGGTTTCATGAAGTCCGGGTTTTAACTAAGGCAGACAGGCCTTGAAGCACTGACGTTCCTGCCTTTCTTTCCCTGAGTAGATGAGTGTATGCCCTTACACCTGGCTCCCCTTGGGAGTTTATTCTTTTTGGGGGGCTAGAAAATGACTTGGTGAGTAAGAACACTTCCTGTTCTTCCCAGGACCCATGTTCAATTCCTAATACCCTCATTAGGCAGCCTATAACCATCTGTAACTCCAAGGGATCTGATGCCCTTTTCTAGCCTCCAGATACCACCCACATGCATGTGGCTTACACTCACACACGTGTACACACACATGTAAATAATTTTTTAAAAATGTATTTTGTGCATGTGTGCACAGATGTGTATATAATGCACTTTGTTCATCTGCAGAGGTCTGAGGACAATGTTGGGAATTAGTTTTCTCCTTACTCCACATGGGCCCTGGGATTTGATTTGGGTCCTCAGTCTTAGCAATAAGTCCCTCTTTTGGGCTTTTAGTATAGAAGGAAATCTATTTCTGGTTGAGGACTGATTCTCTCCAGTGATTCCTGGCCCACTACTCTGTAACCAGCCTGTCTCATTCTTTAGTGAACAAATCTCCTATAGAAGGTTGAAGGGCCATGGGCTCCTTGTCCCAGTTCGGACAGGTGTTCCTCTGACAGGCAAATTGGAGAAAGGTGTCTATCCCCTCCTGGCAGTTCTGCCCCTACAGGGAGCTTGTGTGGTATGTGCCACACAGTTGGTCACTGCTTTAGTACAGGGATGGTTCAGACAAGTCTCCTGGTGGCCCACCATTGTCAACCTCCACCCCTCACTCCCAGTCTCTGTCCTGCAGGGGCATTTGTGGTGTGCTGGACGCCAGGCCAAGTGGTGCTACTCCTGGACGGTCTGGACTGTAAATCCTGCAATGTCTTGGTTGTGGAGAAGTACTTCCTGCTCCTGGCTGAGGCCAACTCACTGGTCAACGCAGTGGTGTACTCCTGCCGAGATGCTGAGATGCGCCGGACCTTTCGCCGCCTCCTCTGCTGCGTGTTCCTCCACTGGTCCAACCACAAATCTTCCCGATACTCATCTTCTGCCCAGACGGGTGCCAGCACCCGGATCATGCTTCCCGAGAACGGCTGCCCACCGATGGACTCCACCCTTTAGCTTCCTTGGACTGAGGCAGAAGATGGGGCAGCAAAAGTATCAGCCTCTAGCAGTTTCCCTGACTCAGTCCAGCCCAGCAGATGCATGGCTTTCAATACTCCCCAGGCCACAGATCTGCCTGCCTCAGAACACAGGGATTTGGGGTCATCTCTGTGCACCTGGGAGATCATCCAAAGGGGCATGGCAGTCTGGCTCTCAAACATCTCAGGTTTTACTTATTTTTGTTTTAAACACGTTTTGTATTTTTTCTGTATATCTCTGATATGTCCTGTGGACGGTTTCTTCCTACATGGTGTGTCGGTGTTCAGGGTAGAAGAGGCGAGAGCTGTCCTAGGTTACACCACCCACTGATGCAGGCTAGACTATAGGTATGCTGTCTTTCTGAGGCCAGTTTGTTTTTTGTTTGTTTGTTTTTTTTTTGTTTTTTTGTTGTTTTTTTTTTTTTTTCCGAGACAGGGTTTCTCTGTGGTTTTGAAGCCTGTCCTGGAACTAGCTCTTGTAGACCAGGCTGGTCTCCAAATCACAGAGATCCGCCTGCCTCTGCCTCCCAAGTGCTGGGATTAAAGGCGTGTGCCACCACCGCCCGGCTGAGGCCACATTCTTTTTTTTTTTTTTTTGGTTTTTCGAGACAGGGTTTCTCTGTGGTTTTGGAGCCTGTCCTGGAACTAGCTCTTGTAGACCAGGCTGGTCTCAAACTCACAGAGATCCGCCTGCCTCTGCCTCCCAAGTGCTGGGATTAAAGGCGTGCGCCACCACCGCCCAGCTGAGGCCAAATTCTTAAGGCATTAAAGCATCTGTTCCCAGAGAACTGGAAATGATGCTGTCTCTACAATGTTCTCCATTTTCCCACAGCTGGGGCCTGGCACACACTAGGCTGGTTCCCACCACAGAGCTCTGTCACAGGAGCCATCTCCAAAGAGCAAATGCCCATCCCTACCTCTGTGAAGACACAAGACTGAACTGTGGGGCTAGGTAGTTCTTGATCCTATGTGGGCAGTGTATACCTACAGCCTGAGTCTCCCAAGGCGACGACCCAGGAACTGCCAGCTGACCATTAAGGACTCTGTCCCTACTCCCACAGACCTCCAGACCTGTTGGACCTTGTCACTTTGCATATTGAGGCAGCCAATCAAATGCTGAATCGGGGACCCTCTGACGGACTCCAGAGGTCAGTTGTCTCACCTGTACTTACTTAGGTCTGTCCTACATCATCATCGTCCAGATTCTGTTGACAGATTTATCTTGTCAGCTTTTTATTTCCTTTTTCCACTTATGTTACAGTTTTTGTTTTCTTTTTTGACACAAGAATTTCTATGTAGCCCTGGTTGTCCTGGAACTCGGTCTATAGACCAGGCTGGCCTCGAACTCTGTGAGCTGGGATTAGGGAGTGTCTAGTTGTGTGCATATTTTTATACAAATGTGGGCATTCTCATACCTTTTGGTGCTTGTGGAAGCTAGAGGTTAGTGTCAAGAATCATCACTGGGAGCTCTGCCCTCTTACTCAATGAAGCGGGGTCAACCAACCAAACCCAGAGCTCACCAAAACAGCTAGTCTCGCTGACCAGCTGCTTTGGGCAACCCTTTGTCACTGCCCTCCAAGGCTGGAATTGCAGTCGGGTCACGCCACCCCTGCATTTATGTGGGGTTTTGAGGTTCTGAACTCACACTTGCGTGGCAGGCGCTTAGCTGCTGAGCCCCCAACCCTACCCTGCCCCAGCCCAGCTTTTTTCTCTTCATCTTTCCTCTGCCAGGTAGCACCAAGTTTTGTCTTTTTTGGCCTGTGGAACTTATAGTCCTCTCGCCACCAAATCAAGCCTGTGTACTGCTAGCCACTGACTGACATTTTGTACAGGGTACCACTCTCGGCCCCTTCAAGAGTTCCATCCCTGTTGCTGGGGCCAAGCCTATGGTTTCCTTCATCAGAGGATTTCCCTTGTTCTTTCATATTTGCATTTCTTGCTGGGTGCCCCTGAAGTATCCCCATCAGTAACAGAATGAAATGGGCTACCCAGTCATGCTAACACTCACCAAGCCTACATCTGAATTCTGTCTCAGAGCAAACAGATTCTGGGAGGTTCTGTGACTTTGGAGAGGGGTTTGTGTTCCTTTTTCTTCTGCTTGAGGAGCCTGTTGTCATGTCATGCATCCCCAATGAGAGACAAAAGGCCCATGAGAGTTTTGTCAGATTTGGGTACACACCAGACGCTAGCGTTTGCTAGACCTGGAATCCTGGGGTTGGAAGGAATAACCAGGCCTAAGATCAGCAGGAAAAGGTGTTTTCTGTCAAGCCTGATAACATGAGTTCAATCCCTGGGCCCATATGGTAGGAGAGAACTGTTGGACTTTAGCGTCCAAACACCGAGAAGGAGTCGAGAGACCATCTCACACACCACAGCCGATGCAAAAGCATGAGGATTTTATTAATTCTGTCATGACAGGGTCCCCCAGCATTCAGGAAGCCGAGGGACCCCAAATAGCTGGTACAGTCTACTTTTAAAGGGGCCACAGAAGCAAGGGAGGTTGTTCTTTGACTATTCTGATTGGCTTATTTGAAAGGGCTATTACCAATAATTGACTGGAGAGCTGTTGCCAGATCAGATGAGGTAAGAGGTCATTTTGACCCCGTTTCCCAGGGGACCAAACCAAAGCATATGTATATGGGTAATTGTTCAGGAACTGAGTACATGCGAGTGTAGCTGTTAGGTCCTTGGTTCCCAGGGGAGGAGGGGAAGCACTATGGCACAGAGGCTGAGAGGATTCAGAATTGTCAAAAATGGCTTCAGGATTGTCTTAAAGTCTTACAGAACCAAGTCATGAAAGCTGTTCTCTGACCCTCACATGTGCCAATGCTTGTGCATGCAGATGAGCATGCGCGCGCGCGCATGCACACACACATACACACACACACACACACCACAAGACATATTTAAAAGCAATGTACAGCCGAGCAGTGATGGCACACGCCTTTAATCCCAGCACTTGGGAGGCAGAGGCAAGTGGATCTCTGTGAGTTCAAGGCCAACCTGGTCTACAGAATGAGTTCCAAAGCTACGGAGAAACCCCATCTCGATAAAAAACAAACCAAAACAAGCAAAAAATGAACAAAACAAAAGTCTTCCAGGACTGGAGAAACGGTTCAGTAGTTAGGAGCACCCGGGTTCAATTCCCAGCACCCACATGGTAGTTCACAACTGTAACTCCAGTTCCAGCGGATCTGACATCCTCACACCAATGTACATTGAATAAAATAATTTTAAAAAGCAGAACAGACAGGTTGAGGGCATTCCTAAACCGGATCTTGCCAAAAGCAACATATAGAGCTGACTTTCTCCAGTGGAGAAAAGTGCTTGGTTCTAGCTTCATTTCTGCTATCTACACATATCTGCATACTTCATCCAGTCCCTCAGCTGGATATAAGGGGAACGGGACCCAGGACTTGTATAGCTATCCCTCCAGATTGAACCACTAGTGTGCTCTTGTAGGAGAGGACATATGGGCTGCTTTCCTCATGATGAGGGTGGGAGCATTCTTTAGGTTCCCATGTTCCTGTAACCCCAATAAATTCCCTGGGTCACAAAACTGGACTTGAAATTGTTTCTTTGGTCAGGCTACTCTTATCAGGGGTGGCTTCCCCCAGAAAAAGGCACATTGAGGCTCTGAGGTCTGAAGAGCTCTGAGAAAGGCCAGAGGACGAGTGGAGGGCCCTCAGGACTGGTGGGAAAGACTCGAGATGTGAAGGTACCGTGGCAAGGAACAGGAATACTGAGGAGCCTGAGACTTAGGTATGGGAGGCCTTGAAGAAGAGGCAGGACTGGAGTGGGAATTCTGAGGGACTGGGGAACTCTGAGGAGGAACCAGAGTGCTGAGGAACTAGCTGGGGTATGAAGGAGGTGGAAGCAGGAAACTGGAGTCAAGGGCATTCTCAACTACTAGTAAATTTGATGTCAGCTAGGAAACAGATGTGCTTCAGTTGGTACAGTGTTTGCCCTGTATGCATGAAGGCCTGGATTCCATCCCTACCACCACACAAATAGGACATGAGGCACACACCACATCCCAGCACTTAGGTAGATGCAGAAAAACCAGAAGGTCAAAATCATGCTCCACTAGCAAATTCAGTCAATTTTCATTATATAACAAATGTGAGGACACCCTGGGCTATATGAGACTCTGTCTTGTAAGACTTTAAGACAATCCTAAAGCCATTTTTGACAATTCTGAATCCTCTCAGCCTCTGTGCCATAGTGCTTCCCCTCCTCCCCTGGGAACCAAGGACCTAACAGCTACACTCGCATGTACTCAGTTCCTGAACAATTACCCATATATGTATGTTTTAATTCAGTCCCATGGGAAACGGGGTCAAAATGACCTCTTACCTCATCTGATCTGGCAACAGCTCTCCAGTCAATTATTGGTAATAGTCCTTTCAAATAAGCCAATCAGAATAGTCAAAGAATAACCCTCCTTGCTTCTGTGGCCCCTTTAAAAGTAGACTGTACCAGCTATTTGGGGTCCCTCGGCTTCCTGAATGCTGGGGGACCCTGTCATGACAGAATTAATAAAATCCTCATGCTTTTGCATCAGCTGTGGTGTGTGAGATGGTCTCTCGACTCCTTCTCGGTGTTTGGACGCTAGAGTCCAACAGTCTCAAATTATTTATTTTGAGACAAGGTCTTTGCACATAGCCCTGAACTGAAACTCACTATGTAGAGCAGGCTGGCCTCGAACTCACAATATCTGCTTCGCTAATGCTGGGATTAAAGGCATGTGCCACTATGCCCAACAACACGTTTTTGAAAAGTTCTGAGGGAGGGAGGTGTGCAAGTGGGAGAGGTGAGGATGCAGGTCTCTGAGGAAGGAAACTCGGAGATGTGTGGGGCTGCCAAACTGGGGATCAGAGAGAAGGCAGACGCGTTGAAACACCCAAGGGTTGTGGCCTCTGACATGGGAGCCATAAAGTGCACCAGACTTAAGCAAATGCAGGCATCGTCGTTACCATGGCAACCCCCATTCTCAGTGGCAGTTTCTAGCGAGTTGCTGGGAAGGGGGAAACAGTGCCTGGCGCTGACGGGTGACGGCGCCCGTAGGGAGCGTGTCCAGGGGGAGGGATGCAGAAGAGAATCGCTGTCTTCTAGACAACCCTCAACCCGGTTCCTCAGCATCCGTTAAAAAGACTGTTTGAAGCGCGTCACGAGGGAGAGGGCAATGCTCCGCGCCGATTGGTGAAAGGCGCCTGCAGGGCGTTTCTGCGGGCGGTGCTCAGCGGCGGTTGGCTAGTGGGCGCGAAGGGGCGTGGCATCTGAGTCTGCGGCGGTTGGCTGCTGCGCACGCGAGAGGGCTCCTGGCGGGATTGTGCCTCAGCGCTACCCGGCCCCTCGCTCATGGCCGCCTCGCTGCGCCCCGTGCCGCCGCAGTCCGCCCCGTGCCGCCCAGCGCCCGCAGCTCCCTTGGGCCGTGACACGAGCGACGTCCTGCAGCAGATCATGGCCATCACCGACCAGAGCCTGGACGAGGCTCAGGCCAGGTAAGGCGTGCAGGCAAGGAGGGAACGGGCGGAGGCGGGTTGAGGATGGGGACAGGTGCGGCAGACCTTGGAGTGATGGACAAGGAGAGGAGCCTCCGGCCAGAGGGAGTGAAGGATGGTTTCGTGAGGAAAGCGGGCGGCGGCGTTATGGGAGTAAGGGCCCAGCCCTGGAACAAGAGACATTAGAAGGATAAGTGAGCTAGTCATCTGTTATTGGCCGGTCCGAGGACCGCAGTTTTGCTAGGCGCACAGTTGAAGAGAAGCTACCGAAGAGATAACTAGGGTGATCTGAGGAAGGACCTTTGAGAACTTTCAGAAACAGATACGGGGAGCTGGATGGACCTTAGAGGGCACCGTTCTTCCTACTTCTCACCCTCCTGTTCTTTTCCAAGACAGGGGTTCTCTGTGTAGCCATGGCTGTCCTGGAACTCACTCTATAACTAATTTGTGTTATGGATCTTGGAAGCAACTACTTTTACCAACATGGAGCCATCTTCCAGGCTTAGGTTTCTAGACACTTGGAGTGACTGCAGAATTGCTGCTCCAGAAAGACAGAAGGAAAAGTTTGACAGAAGCCCAAAAACTGATTCAATTCTAGGTACCCAAAGGATAACCCAGGAGTCATTATTTATTACCTTTTTTGTTTGTTTCTTTGTTTTCAGAGACAAGGTTTCTCTGAGTAGCCCTGAATAGCCTTGAACTTACATAGAACCTCCTGCTTCTGCCTCCCAAGTGCTGGGTTTAAAGGTTCATGCCACTTTGCCTGCCTTGATTACTATATTTTTAAGACAGGGTTTTGCTGAGTCCAGAAATGACAGATGAGCTGAGTTCCTGGCATCCTCTCTCTGTGTGATGTGCCTACACCCACAGCACCAGGGTCACAACTGTGTGATGTCCCCTGCACCCACACCGGGGTCACAACTGTGTGACGTCCCCTGCACCCACACCGGGGTTACATCTGTGTGACGTCCCCTGCACCCACACCGGGGTTACATCTGTGTGACGTCCCCTGCACCCACACCAGGGTTACATCTGTGTGACGTCCCTTGCACCCACACCAGGGTTACATCTGTGTGACGTCCCCTGCATCCACACCGGGGTTACATCTGTGTGACGTCCCCTGCACCTCACACCGGGGTTACATCTGTGTGACGTTCCCTGCACCCACACCGGGGTTACATCTATGTGACGTCCCCTGCATCCACACCGGGGTTACATCTGTGTGACGTCCCCTGCACCCACACCAGGGTTACATCTGTGTGACAGCACTAGGATTACAGACACCATTGTGCTGATCTTTATTATATAGATGCTAGGGAATCTGAGTTTGACTTTTTTGTATTGTGTTCTTTTTGAGACAGGGTTTCTCTGTGGTTTTGGAGCCTGTCCTGGAACTAGCTCATGTAGACCAGGCTCTCCTCAAACTCATAGAGATCCGCCTGCCTCTGCTTCTGAGTGCTGGGATTAAAGGTGTGTGCCACCAAGGCCCGGCCCCTGATTAGACTTCTAATGCTTGCAAGGCACCTTACTAACTGAGCCATCCCTGCAGTCTCTGAAGAAGCCCCTTCTTTATTGGGGAGATGGGGAGTTGGGTCTTAACTGTGTAGACGAGGCTACCCTCAAACTCAGAGATCTACCTGTCTCTGCTTTCTCAGTGCTGGTGATAAAGACATGTATCTGACTTCAGAATCCATTTTTATTATTTTTTAATTTAAAAATTTAAATATTGTTTTATTTTAAACATATAAGTATCTTGCCTACATGTCTTTATATGTACCGCATACATGCCTGGTGCCCAACGAGGTCAGATTCTTTGGTACTGGACTTACAGATGGTTGGGTCCTGGAAACCAAACCCAGGTCTTCAGCAAGAATAACCAGTGCTCCTAACCACTAACCATCTTGCCAGCCCTAGGACCCATTTTTAAAATGAACTTGATAAATACTTACTGAACACTTACGATGTGAGGGCACTGTCCCGGGGGCTGGAGTAGTCCTTGCTTCCTCCTTTATGAGCTTGGGGTTTGGGACAGAGAAAGAAAGTGGAAAAATACACACATATATAAATTGTGGCTAAGCTATAAGGAAAAGACTGGCAGTGCTAAGTGGAGAAGGGGCACTGTCTCCAGAGTGAAGCTCCTGGAGAGGAGCCTAGAAAAACATTCCCAACCTAAAAGGGGGAAAGCGTGGAGAGTCGAGTTTGGAGAAACGTGAAGCCTGCTTCTACAGTCCCACAGAGTCTGCACTCTCAGGGCAGAGTTAAGATTTCATTCTGCTTTTCTTTTTCTTTTGTTATAAAGTTTGTTTGTTTTTCGAGACAGAATTTCTCTTTGTAGCCCTGGCTGTCCTGACATAACTGGCCTTGAATTCAGATTCACCTGCCTCTGCCTCCCAAGGAATGAGATTCAAGGCGTGTGCCACCACTGCCCAGCTAAAGAATTTTTGATTTGTGTGTAGGAGTATTTTGCCTGCATGAATGTGTGTGTACCAAATATATGCCTGGTGCCCATAGAAATTAGAAGAGGGCATTGGGCCCCCTGAAAGTGCAGTCACAGGTGGTTGTGAGGTGCCATGTGGGTGCTAAGAATGGAACCCCGATGCTCTGCAAGAGCAGCAGCCTGTGTCCTTCAACACAGTCATCTCTCCAGGCACCACTCCACTCTCAGTAGGAGAAAAGATCAAAGCACAATTTTTGTTTGTTTGTTTTTTGACACAGAGTTTTTCTGTGAAACAGCTCTGAACTCGCTCTGTAGACCAGGCTGGTCTCAAACTCACAGAGATCCTTTGCCTCTGCCTTCCAAGTGCTGGGATTCAAGGCATGCGCCACCACACCCAGCATTCAAAGCAGTTTTAAGACCACCTGTTCACACCAGTGTCAGCCGACCAGGACTGTGGGAATCTGCTTTAGAAGGCAGTCTACCGCGTCAGCACCTACTGGGATGGTCACACAGTAGGAAAGGCTGGGTTTCTTCTGGAGCATGAGTCTGTATTAAAGGGTCTGTTTTGAGGTGAGGGCAGTTCCTTAGGGTCTGACAATTGTGCTCTATCTCTGCAGTGAGACCAGTTTACTAAGGAGAAGAACATGAGCTCCCTTAGAGCCGGGAGTGCAGCACAGACGCTAGAGCACACACCTCCAGTGCACATGCAGAGCGCCCCTTGGTTACATATTGAGGCCGTCTGAGATACCTGAGACCTTGCCTACAAGCCAGACAACCGCCCACCCCACTTCTGTTGAACTCAGGGTACCCTAGCTCTGTGTGGAATGCTGACTCTTTAGTTTTATAGCCTCTCTCTGGAAAGTTAGGAATGCTGGCCTGCCTCCAGCTCTTTCCATTCCACTTTAAAAACGTATGTTTTATTAGGGTGTGTGTGGTTTGTGTGTACACCCACACTGCGCTGTTCTTACAGCACCTCCATCTTCAAAGGATCCTATGTGTTCTTCTATCCTCTGTGCACCTGCATACTTGAACACCTACTCCACACAGAAATAAAACAAATCTAGAATACAGAGGAGAAGATGTGTGGAGGTCATATGCAAATGCTACAGTATCTTGCCTGAGGGAGTTGAGCGCCTGCCCGTAGGATGCCAAGGGACAAAAGACTTTATAACCTTGACTGCAGCTTGTCAGCCCAGGAGTACGCAACCAAGTGCATCCCTGCTGATCTGCTGACTGGACTAGACTTTGCAAGTCTTTCTGAACCAGCTAGTCTCTCGGAGTGTCTCTGTCTCTATCGTAGCTCCAAGGTCAGTTTAGCTGAATTGTCCATCAAGAACTTTTCATCCCCCATGTAAGGCTTCTCATCTTTATTACGCTATCAACTGTGTATAAAGAAAGGAAAATGGGGATTGGTGAGATGACTCAACAGGTAAAGGCACTTGCTTCTAAGCCTCATGACCTGAGTTGAATCCCTGGCACCCACTCCCCCAGGTTAACTTCTAGTTGGATTCCTGGCACCCATTCCCCCAGGTTAACTTCTAGCCTCATGACCTGAGTTGGATCCCTGGCACCCACTCCCCCAGGTTAACTTCTAGCTTCCACACATGCACACACAAGTGCACTAAATAAAAACTGTTTAAAATTTAATGATATTGCCACTAAAAAAGTCAAGGAAGCTACTGATTTACTAGAAGGTGAAGCTAAAACAATGAAGTGGAGGCTGGAGAGATGGCTCAGGAGTTAAGAACACATGCTGCTTTTTTTTGTTTTGTTTTGTTTTTTGTTTTTTGTTTTCGTTTTTTGTTTTTCGAGACAGGGTTTCTCTGTAGCTTTGGAACCTGTCCTGGAACTAGCTCTTGTAGACCAGGCTGGTCTCCAAATCACAGAGATCCGCCTGCCTCTGCCTCCCGAGTGCTGGGATTAAAGGCTTGCACCACCACCGCCCGGCCACATGCTGCTCTTGTAGAGGACCTGGGTTCAGTTCCCAGCACCTACATGGTGACTCAACCATTCAAAACTAAGCTCCAAGGAATCCAGCCCCTTCCAACCTCCATGGACACTAGGCATGCATTCATGCATAGACACTGGGGGAACACCTATACACATAAAAATAAAGCCAAAAACATTTTTAAATGACATAAGTGTGTACTGAATTTTAAGTTCCCACTGGTCTGTGTGTATGAGTACAATTTGTGTAACAAATACCTTAGAGCTACACTTGTGAAAGGACGGAAGGAAGGAGGGAGGTTGTAGGTGTTAACTGACAATGACCCATTCATAGCTTCTGCTGAATGGGCTCAGCTGGCCGGCTTGGCTAGTGGCTCCTCCCAACACGTGTGCCAATGGGAGAGGACGGCCTCTTCCACAGAAGACTGTCCTCCTGTCGCCAGCATCACCTCCAGACAAGATCCAAGGATATTTGTAGAACGTAGGCCAGCCAGGCTTTCACAGCCCAGACACAGCAGAGTGAGGGACGCGACAGGGGAAGACAGGAAAGTGACTTTTCTTATCTAAAGCAGATCCTTTCTTTCCAGGGCGAGGTGGGGTCTGGTTTTACATTCTT